ATCTTCAGGAATGTGAGCCAAAGCTATTTAAGATGCTTCCCAGCCACTGGAGAGAGGCAAGACGACACCAAGGATGCCACGTGCCCTCTGCAACCCCCGCCTGCTGTGGGCCTCAGTCCCCTCGAAGGAAGGGGTGTGTGCACCAAGTGCTTACATCACAGTAACTTAATTTTTGATACATTACTGGGAATTCTTAACAATCATGCACATGATGACCAAAAAAAAAAAAAAAAAAACTAACAAGGGAGTTAGGCTGAATTCTGCGGGAATGATCAAGGGTTTAAAAAGTGCACATAAAGGAAACAGAAATCTACAAACAGCAATGCCCCAATTAATTACCCAGCTTCCATGTAAGTGACTTTTGTAGCTAACACAAGACTTGCTGTTTTTATTGCTAAAATGTTTAGATTTAACTAAGTGAAAAGACACTTCTCTGATCCTATAATCAATAGAATAAATATATTCTAAGATTTTCTTAATGATTCCAGTAATTGCATATCCCCAAGTCTGGCACTGTGCCTGGCGCAGGCACTGGGTAGCGCTCAGCTTTACTCGGCTGCCACGGCACTTACGGGGGCCCAGGAGCGAGCTCCAAGGGTGCCTTGGCAATCAGCCGCCTGCAGTGGCTCGACCTGACCTGAGAGCTGGAAGGACCTCCCTGGACCTCCCTAGAGGTCCCTTCTCCTCCTGGCAAGCTCATCAAGTCCTCTTTCAAATGCACTGTTCTGTCCTATCTCAGCTTCAAACGTGAAGCCGTTCAGAATGCTGTAGAATTCCTCGCAGATGCCAGAAACCCTCTGTCACAGGGAGAGCTGGGCATGCACAGTGACCCTGTGAGAACTTTAAGAGCCAGGACACAAGACCCCAGGTTCCAACTTCCTTCAGCCACCTTGACATTCTTGGTAGTGGGACCCACCTAGAACTCAGAGTATAAGTGATGAGGGGCCGGACCCCCCTCCACAGACACACACGTCAACCACAGATGAATGTGTTGCCCGAGTCAAAACATAAATCTGTGCTATTTAAGCCACAGAGACTGTGGGGTTATTCATATAAATAGCATAACCCAGCCCATCCCAATGAATATAAATGGTCTATTAAATAACAACTTCATGAGTCATCTGTCAAGAGGCCTTCCAATGAGATAAATTCAGGAGTTTATACTCAGATCGTGACACACACCTTGGCGGCCCAAAGGCTGTGTGTGTGTGTGTGTGTGTGTGTGCACACGCATGTGCATAGCTAAGCCCACAGTACTGGGTGCACCTGTTACTGCGGCTTCCTTGCCATAGACTCCACTCAGAGCTCTAAGCTGCACAGGACAGAGAGTCTGTCTTTTCGTCCTGTCTTCCCAGAACAGGGAGACGCCTGGTACAGGAGAGCTCACTACCTATCATCTAAATTAAACATCTGGATCTCTATCAGTAAAGAAAAAAAAAAAATATGATCACTTGCCCAAGTTTACATGGAACTTGTAACTGAACTGAGGTCCAGCCCTCTTTCTAAAACAGCTGCACCCATCCATCAGACAGGCCAGTGACATGATGTGCTCCCAGCTTTGCCCTCCACATCTGAGGACAGAGCCAGTGACTCACACCCAGGACAGTATGACCCAAGACAGACGCCTCTGCCTGCAGCCACGCTCCTTCCGCTAGTGCACCTCCCCCTTAGACAGGGAGGAATTTTCCAACCAGCCCCTTGGTGGGTAAAGCTCATTCTGCTGCCCTCTGGGGTCAAATATTCTTGTTCAAACCAAGTCATCTGTATGTCGGCTGCCTGTCCTGTTTAACGGGCAGGGCCTGGTACAGAGCTTCAAGGTTAGCCCAGAGCACCCCACCCCACGGTCCAAAGACTAAGCATCTAACATTCGCCCTGTTAAGCAAGTTGACAGCCAAAAAAACCTCTGCCATTTATTGCGTGTTCATGAACTTCATGCCACTGGGTGAGGTACTTCGCTTACATCATCATCCCACCTAATCCCTGGACAATCCGCCAAGGTAACATCATTATCCTCATGTTGCAGATGAGAAAATCAGACCAGAGGGTCTAAGTCCCATGTCCAGGTTAAACACTCAGGCCTCAGAAATTGTGTTAGCCCTTTACTGACCCATGGTGTCTCCAGCTTTGTGAGGAAGTAACTGACACAGCGCAGTGTAAGGCTGAGGCCAAATGCACAACGTTTGATGCACACACTGTGTCCTTATCTACTAAGTAAAAGTATTTCTCTGAGTCCAGGACTTGGCTGTTCATCTACATATACCTTTCACCTGTAAACACTTATCAGGGGCCTGATGCACTACTATCCCCATTTTATAGGTGAGGTTTAAACTTAACCAGCAAAGGATGGTTCTAGAATTTAAAGGTTAGATCACTGTGAAGTGTAAACATGTTCTACTTCTAACAGCACTACCTCACAGGGTTGGAAAGAGAATGATATGAACTAATATGAAAAAGTGTAACAACAGTATCCTGTACATAGCATGGCCTCGCTCAGGAACAGCTGTTTATAAAATTAAAAGCAATGTGAATTATTTCCTCCCAACACATTTTAGCACAGATTTCTTTTCTGGGGGGTGAAGGCAGGTGGGTACCAAGAACCTTATGGGATGTTATAATCCACTCCCACCCACTCAGGAACAAACACTTTGTTTTCTTCCATGCAAGATGAAGGCTTAGATCACCTCTAGGATGCAGCCTTTGAGTTCTCTGATTTGCGATTCCAACAGTTGATCGATAAAGGAGCAACTTAATAAGCAAGCATCACAGAGGACCCCCAAGTCCACTGCGGAGAACACGGTCCTCTCCAGACCACCAGAGAGGGGGTGACCACGCCACCAAGAAGGAAAAGTTCACAGTGGATCATTCCAGAGGCCAGTTCATTTCAGAAGAGGGACATTTATCAAGTTCCCTAACGTGGGATGGTGGCAGACACAGGAACAAAGCTCACCTGATTTTTCCCACCACCCATCAATGCCGATTTCAACGGAGACTGGAAGCTGCTAAACTCCAGCTGCAATTATGAGAACAAAACAGCAGGTGTGGACGAGGGAGAGATGACCATGGGGAGGAGGCAGCTGGGAATGTGAGGCAGAAACTGCAGCTCCTGGGAAGCAAGCAGGGGAGTCTAGGAGGCTTGAGAACAGAGCTGGGAGGGGCAGCACTGATGACAGAACCCACCCCAGCCCACCCCAGAAGCCAAGGCAAAGATACAGGGATCAGCCATTCAGGATACATTTCAAATACAGACGCATACATTCCTTTCCCTTTTTTCTTACAGTGTTTTCATTTTTTAATTCTGATAAAATCCCTATGCCTGCTATTACAAAAATGCGGTGGCTTCAAGCAAAAGAGACTTATTCTGTCCTAGTCCTGGAGGCCAGACATCCAAACCCAAGGGGTCGTGGGGGTGCACTCCCTCCGGGGACTCTGGGAGAATCTGCCCCTGCCTCTTCCCCCTTCCAGGGGCCACCAGCATTCCCCAACTTGTGACTGTAAGTCCCCAATCTCTGCCTCCACGGTCACACGGCTTCTTTTCTTCAACAGTTCCCTCTGCCCCCTCCAATATGGACACATGTGATCACAGTTGGGGCACACCCATAACCCAGGATTACCCCGTCCATCAGTATCGCTCCTTGATCACTCCTGCAAAGAGCCCAACCCTACTACCAAGTGCGGGAACACGTCCTGGCTCACTCACTGGGACCTGACACCGCTCTTCTTACCAAATGTTAGGAAGACCAGGAAAAATTTAATGTTGCAGGACAGAGAAGTAAGAGTCACAGCGCTAGAAGACCCAGGAGGAGCAGGCTTGGAAAGCAGCCCATTCCAGCCTCTCTTAGCAGGAGGCGGGGAAAAGGGATCTTCTCAGCATCACCCACAGACCCAGCCTGGCACACACAACTTTCTTTCATCCATGGTTTCTCCAAGGGCATCTAAAAACAGTGCATGGAAAAGAATATTCTATTGCCCTCCTGCATCAGGCCCCATCCACACTCTATAATGACCACACACCTACTATGTCCAAACTATACTTCTACAAAGGGGTAGAATTTACCAAAAGCAAAGCAACTTTTGAGTTAACCCAGCAGTATGGAAAGGAAACATTCAAGGGTTCTATTGAGGTGCCAACTAAGGCCTGTTCACAGTGGTCTATGCAGTAGCCAGGGGAGGAGGGTGGGCAGGGGAATCTGGTCTGGGCTGCTCCCGAGGAAGGTAACTGGGCAGCAAGGAGGGAGCAGTGAGTCCTGGAGACCAGGGAGGACACTAACTCTGGCTCCATAGTTCTCACACTCCAGAGAACACCAGAACCACCAGACAGTTATTGTTAAACCCCAGATTTCTGGCCCCACACCCAGAGTTTCGGATTCTACAGATCTGGGGCGGGCCGAAGACTGTGCATGTCTAACACATTCCCAGGGGCTGGTGAAGCTGCGGGTCTGAGGACAACACTTTGAGGGTCACTGTTGCATGTATAACAAAGTATAATAATGAGAAAGAGACGTTGAAAAGCACTCCATGGACATCAAATTGGCGTGTGAGCCCCACCCCCTTTGCTCAGCCACCAGACCTCCTTGCTAATCCTATTGCTTGCTCAGGGCCCTCACACTTGCTGTTCCCTCCCTCTGTGAGGCTTTCCCCCTTCAATCAGGGCTCCCTTCTCCAAGAGCCTTTTAAAATTCTCATTTTCTAACGAACTATAGAAATGACCCCTGAAAGTACAGTCTTGAAAATTCTCCTTTTCTGAAACGACATCCCCCGCTCACCCAGGGCCTCGTCACCCCTGCCCCTTGCATTATTAACCTGCTTTATCTGCCCTTCTCAGTGCTGCCTGCACTTGACAGAATTCCGTATTTGTTTGCTGTTTGCTAGAATAGAAGATCCACTGGAGCAGGGGCTCAGCTTTGCTCATTCCTCTATCCCCAGTGCCTCTTGTATGTCATTCCTGGCACATAGTAGGCACTGGATAAATGTTTATTACATGAATGAATCAACCACCTTACCTCTCTGGAATTCTCCCAGCTGTAAGAGTCCCTTTAAGGGTTCCTGGAGGAATACACAGGAACAGTGGAAGTTAGGGGAGAACGCTGAGAAACAACTCCTTCTGCACCTGCGCTGCAATCAGATGAAAACTGATGACTGGCAGAAAAATCCAGCCACCATCTGGTTGTTCAAGGACCCCTCCCGGGTGCTGACGGCATTGTCATTCACCATAATGAAGATTAAAACCAACAGCGATCCAAGGGGACAGGTTCCCAGGAGGCAGCCTGGCTGAAATTAACTCCTTCTGAGCCGAGGAGCTTCCAGACAGCCTGAGAAGAAACCACTTTTCTCTGGGGGCCAAGGCAGGAGGCGGGCAAGGTCTCCGCTTTCGAGATTACAGATGACCTGTTCCAGGAAGGGATGAGATGGAGAAACTCTGAGCAGGAGGACTATGGCAAGATAATGGCCATGGGGTGGTAAGGAAAGCTACAGTAGTGACAGATGTAACATACCATTTGCCCATCAGTCAACAAGGTCCTTCGGGCTAGAAGCCAACTGTGCTTTCAGCTCATTTATTAAAGCCATGGCGTGTGCTTCACCCTCAAGGACCGAGACCCAAGGCCCAGGACCCACAGTCACTTCGTCTTCAAGGTTCCCGCCATCTCTGAAGTTTACAGAAAGAAGCTGTCCAGCTTCATCAATTTCCACGAGCCAGTACTGACCACACTTGATTAGGACATAAAACTTCGGCGAGCGCTGGGGAGAAGAGGAAACTGGCACCATGCAGATGCCAAAGCAGAGGGAGCTGGCGGCAGTACAGCTCTTCCTTCCTTCCAGCTCACGGGTAAAGAAACTGTCAGGGACATATTTCCTCTGTGAGAGGCAGGGATGTTTCACACTAGTGCCAGATGGCCGGGTTTGGATTTCCACCCCTGCCACTTATCAGTTCTATGATCTGGGACAACTTACTTAACAGCTCTGTGCCTCAGTTTCCTAAGAGGGAAAACGAGGACAACAAACGAGTAACTCACTTCCAAGGTTGCTATGAAAACGGAATGTGTTCATTTGCGTCAGGCGTAAAGAACAAGAGTTACAAGTGGTGCACAAAAGCATGCCAGGGACAGGAGAGGAGGCTGCAGTGATGGCGGCGGTGGAGAATAAGGTGATGGTGGTAATGATGCCAATGCTCGTGTGTTGGCAGAGATGCTGGGGGGACACAGAGCAAAGGAGTGGTAAAAAGAAATCACAGAGAGTTTTGTGAAAATGTAGTATTTGATTGTGCATTCAGGTCATACGGGCATGATCCCTCTGCTTTCCTCTCCTGTTTTTCTAGTAACACGTCTGAAGACAGGGAGACAGGTCCGGAGGGCGGAAGAGATGCCAAGTGAGAGTAGAGAGAGCCGGGGGTAGGCTGGCAGGACGCACACCGCGGTGGATTCCTTTTCCTGCTGCCCCTGGACCTAATGCCTGCCCGAGGCCTCCAGGGCCTTCTCTGCATCCCCAGGAGCACTCTCGAGGCCAACAGCCCTTGCAACCAGTTGTTAGAAAGATATTTTTAAGCTTTAAAAAAAGATGAGTGAGAGAACCTGCATGACACGCTGTCTCTCCTCCTGGAGGCTTCACAGCCGGTCCTGTCTTGTCAGTCAAATCCACAGATCCCTTCCCTCCCAGGCACAGGGATGCCACCGGGGAAAAGAATCACTGGGGCAGAATATTCACATGATGCATGCACCCAGCACACACATCACACACACGTATACACGCATGTATACACGCACAGACCGGAGCCCCGAAGAGGATCATGTTCAAGCCCCTTGGCTCGCACGCAAAGCCCCTCCCAACCTGGCAGTAACCCCCCACAACAGCTTGTCCAAATGTCCGAATGTCAGCGCCTGGCACTGGTGGCCCAGGTTTAGAACAGCGTCCTCCTACACACCCCTCAGGCTGCTGAGCGTCCCGACCCTGCAGCTCCTGCTGCAAAGAGGCCCTTCCTCCTGGCTTTCCTCTGGCTGACTCCAGCTCAATATTTAAGGTTCTGGAATCCAACTGCTCCCCTGGAGGCTGATCGTCAGGTGAGTTTTTCCATCAGTTCCCACAGACTCTGGCTCCCTTACTGGAGAAGGAGGCCCAGCACCTTTACGGACCAGGCTCCAGGGAACGGAGGCAGGCGGAGCTCCCGGCACTGACTCCAGCAGCCCCGTACATGCACGTGCCACCACAAAACCCAAGTCCAGTATGCACTGAGCACGCCCCACCTGCGAAACAGAATATATCAGGAACAGAATTGCGAGGGGCACAGGGTCCAGAGGTCAAAAACACAACCAGAGGACCTGTGACACACTCAGGCTTTAAGCAAAGTGCAGTCAGTGACTGAGGCTGAGCTCCAAGCTTCCCAGAGCAGGCCCGAGCCCCAGTGGCAGCAGTCTCCGAGGACCGCAGGTCAGGATGACCATCCAAACTGAGACAAACCCAGAGAGCTGGGAACAGGGCAGCCCTGCCCAGAGTGTGTAGACCAAGTGAGCTGCAGCCCCAGACTTGCTCCTGGACTGCCAGGTGCTGCCAGGCTCTGCACCCACTGTCCTGTGCGGCCCAGGTAAGCAGGGCTGAGCTTCCAGGAGACCCTCACTGGAACCAGTACAGCCAACAGGTGACAGCACAGAACCTGGAACAGACTCCCTGGGGTCAAATCCAGGTTCCAGCACACACCGTGTGAGCCTAGGGGAGTTTACCAGTTCTCAAGATGGGCCCACCTGGAACTGTGCCCAGCATACAGTCAGTGCCCATTAAGTGCTGTGCAACCTACTTTGAATCAAACAGACTTCATCTTATCTCTAACTCTAATCCAGAGAATTCTGGGTGAGCAGCTGAGTGCAGCCTGACTCAACTCCCTCATTGTTCCTTATTGGAAAGCAGGAAAGAACAGCATCTCCCCTTCTTCCTGCCCAGGAAAGACAGAGGAGAGACCATCTGCTTGACGCTACATGATATTAATCCACCACTGGACAGAGCCCACTGGACTTGTCTGGCACCATGGTATGTCCACCATGTGGCCCTGCCCTTCAGGTAGGTACAGACACAGCAATTCAACAAAGCAATGAATGTACTTTCAACTAGAAAACACACCCCAGAAGACTCCCCTCTACCCCATGGTGGGGTGGGGTGGGGTGGGTAGGGTGGGTGGGGTGGGGACTTCTTTAATCCCAAAGCAACACAAGCACCGTGGAGCTTAGACTACTCCAGCCTGCAGCGTGAGTTGCCTTTCATGTCATTAATCATATTAACTCAATTAAGACATTAAACTCTTTGGGAACACCTAAACATCTGAATAGCACTTTACCAATTTCAAAGTATAATTAAATCAGTGACCCTGTGTTATGGACCAAATTCATAAGCCAAAGGCCTACGCCCAACTACCTGGCTGCATGTGGAAGCAGAATCTTTAAAAAGGAGATGAAGGTTAAGTAGAGTCCTAGGGTGGACCAACAGGATAACTAGTGTCCTTATAAGAAAAGGCACTGAGGACACAGACACATGCAGAAGAAAGACCTTGCGAAGACACAGGGAGAAGATATGTGTGGACACCCCAAGCAGAGAGGCCCTAGGGGTGACCGCCTCGCTGAGACCTAGATCTCTGGCGTCCAGCCTCCAGAACCGTGGGGATGTGAGTTTCCATTCACATCGCCCACCCATGGGGCTTTGTAATGGCCTCTCTCTATCTGCAGGTTCCCCCTGCTATGTGATAGTCGAGCCTTCCTCTACTATGCGCTAAGCTCTTTCATAAGGAAGTGATACTCGACAAGTGTTTATTGAGCATCTACTATGTGCTAAGCTCTTTTAAAGGTACTAAGGATACTACATGGACCAAGAGACCCTTTATTTCCTGGACTTTTTAACTAAAGGAGAGATGGATGATAACCATATCGAATAAATATAAGAGACCTACCTTTAGAAATTACTGGAGAGTGATTTTTTTTTATTCACATCTGCAGTTGTAACTACAAACATACAGGCAAGCAATTAAAATTTTCTTTGAAAAAAGCTAAGCCATAAAAGTGAACACTCAAAGGAAAAGTGATGGGGAGAAAAAAACATTGCTTGTTCATCTCGCTTTTCTTTAAGTAAAGGAAAAACATCAGGCAGGGGCTCGTCCTAAGTCCTGAGTAAAAGTTTCTACCATGTTAATAAGCCTCAGCAACAAAGCCGTGGCTTAGAAATGCTATCATTCGCATTTCCTATGTAGGGTAATTTTCCCTCTAAAGTTTGAGGCCAAAGCTATCTCAAACAATAACCAGGCTCGGGAAATGGAGTTTGTTTTCTTCGCCCAGATGAAAATTCACACACCAGCCAGCACTCTCTGCCCGGGAACATTCTTGCAAAACTGGATTGAGCTGAATTTCACTTTATAGCTGGTGCTTAGGCGTAAATTATTATTACATGTTTATAAGGGTTTTATGTTGGTATAATATTTTACGGCTAGAGAAGCATTTACGCAATATGTGGCATCTTTAAGTGTTTTTTCATTTACAATTCTACCCTTTCGGGTCGGTAATGGCTGGCAAGTCTGTGCAAACCCCTATGATTGTCAATCCCCTGGATGGCCAGGAGCTGTCTCAGCAGGAATTCACTGCACTGCTGCCTGCAATAGGCTGCAAGTGCTTTGCCATTCTAGAACCCTCTGTGAGGGTGAGGGGTTTCCACAGTCACATTAATTAAGCATGGGATGGCATTCAAGAGGGAACTAGAAATTCAGCAGCATTCCCTGGGGCTTGCTGATCTGAGTGCCCAACAGAGATTTGAGGACCCCACACTATCTACAATAATGTATTCACACTAAAACCATGATCACACTAATGCAGCCTGATTACTAGCAAATCAGTGTAAGAGTTCAGTGAGAATTCGGGTTCTGACACTCACCTGCCATAAATAAAGCCCTGAAGCTCTAAGCTTTGTTCTATCAGCTTTAAAATGGAGGTGATCACCACGCCCACTATGTAGGATTATCAGGATGCTGAAATGAAATCAGGCATGTAAGCTCAGTACCGGGTCTGACACGGAGTTGACACTTGAATAAAGCTATTTAGATGAGCGAGGTGATTGCCTATGGACCAGAAAGATTCTGGAGAAGGCCAAAGTTCGGAAGCACTCAGTTCCACTCTCTCTCAGATGCATTAACCCAGGCCCAGTCCAACTGGGTAAAGTCAAGAACAGGATTCTGGACGTGTAGA